TTGCTTCCTAGCTCTTACTAGATGAAATTGGTTGTAAGAAGGCATGTGTTGGTGCATTAAAGACCGCCCTGCAAATGCATTGGTTGCTGCACACAGTCCTTTCTACTGAAAAAACATGTTTCAAAAGGTGCAGCTTTTACTTTGAAGGTAAACGAACTCCATTTCAGGTCAGCATCACATTTTTTCCTAGTTTCACAACCGCTCTGTGGTTAGTTAGCAAATGTTTGCAAACAATCATCTTCTATGCAAGCTATAAGTGAGGTAATCTGCTAGCAATCACAAGGAGAATTTCTGTGGAGCAACTCTGTTGTCACTGATATCACCCAGCGACAGACAGCAACCTGTAGTAACCACTTGCAAACTGCAGGGGGAAATACACTTTCTTCCCTAGTGAGTTGACGTTGCCAAGGAATCCCCAACTAGTCTCGCTCTGGGTCCAAAGAATCCAAAGTTCCAGATTTGCTGAAGATTTATCAAAATGTTAATACTACGAAAAGGAATCTGTTTGGGATTGTTTTGGTTTTAAACTGCTCGATAAAGCATTTAGATAAAGGACACCTTGCTGCTCCTACAAGGACAAACTGGTAGAGGGAACATGCTGTTAAATGCTCAGTATGCACAACCTGAATTCTGCTAATAAAATAAACTAGCACTGCATGTCTAGCTTACCCTGCAGGTGTGATAGCTGACAGTGTTTTAACAAAGACCAAAGAACACTGGGTGCTAATGGCATTATATTAGCTTCAATAGTTTGGACTGGTGTAACCAGTCCAAGCTCTTAACCCTGTATAACACACAAGTTGTCATTTTTAACTTCCCTTTTTATGAAAATAACACAGAGAAGCTAAAGTGTGGCATGCTAATTAGTGAGAAGTGTCAACAGGTGGCTGTTGTCACCTCTGGATACAACTGTGTTAGCGCCCCTTTTCCATTTAAGCTAACCATCTCCTGTTTGGACTAATACATTTATCACACAGGCATGAGAGCAGCACCAATCTTCTTCTCTGGTTCTCTGGAACAAACAACTTTTTTTTTCTTTTAAATGATCCATTCAGGTTTCCCTGACACATGGAGGACTACTGCAAGCAGATGTTACTTTTCACTAGGGCTGCACGATTTTGCATAAAATGAGAATCACGATTTTTTGGCTTAGAATTGAGATCACGATTCTCTCACGATTTTCTTTTCCAGTATAAATATTTATTGCACTTATTAACTGCACATCAACTTCGTAACAGTT